CATGCAGTCAGGACTAATTTGCCTGCAAATTTTTGTGGATGAGCCATCCTGGAAGTGGACGTCTTCCCCACCCCACACCTATCCCTGAGCCCATTATAGCGCCCACGAGTGTTACCGGCTTAGCAGGAACTATGAGACATGGATTTGAAAAACATTTCCTGTGCTCATGGTTACTATGTTCCTTTTCCAAATCTGAACGTAAATTATTCATTTACAAACATAAAATGCAATGAATGATGTGCAGATAGAAGGTAGAGAAGAGTTTTATTACTGACCTTTGCAATGTGTTGCTACTAAGGCAAAATTTGGCTACTTGGTAATCATATTAACCTATTATAAAGAGAAAACTTCCCCCCTCTTTTTCAGGACCACAATACAGACACATTCGTAACCTATTTAGGAAAGATAATGCTATTTTCAAACAATTCCAAAAGTTGTACATTTTCTCATATTGTTGTATAATTTAAATTACAAGCTGGTAATCTCATAACATTCAATATATTGAAACTATCTTAGCCTAAGAAAAATAAAATATTAGGAAAGTAAAATTTCAAAAATAAAACAAAATTTCTACTTGTATCTGGGTTGTCTTTATAATATGTATTCCAAAGAATATGAATATATCATATATCATGAATATATATAGAGAGAGATCTATTTCAAGTTTGTACTTTCATAGACATAGATAATTGATAACCATTTATTTTATCTAAGCACAAAGTCATATTGGGTTTCCCCCCAGCTTTATTAAGGTATAATTGACTAATAAAAATTGTATATATTTACAGTATACAGCATGACATTTTGAGATATGTATACATTGTGGAATGATTAAATCAAGCTAATTAACATATCCATCACCTCATATACTTATTTTTTTGTGGTGAGAACATTTAAGATCTACTCCCTTAGCAATTTTCAAATATACAATACATTACTATTGACTATGGTCACTGTGCTTACAATAGGTCTCAGGAAGTTATTCATTTGGTTTAACTGAGACTTGTACCCCTTGACCAACATCTCCCTCAAAGTTCTATTGTTACTACAAATTTAAAACTTACTCAGATGGTTAAATGCTGATGTCTCCTCTATTTGGACTTGGGGGAAAGTGCCAAGACTAGCAGGAGTTTGCCCCCTAAAAAAACTGTAACCCTGATGCTGATCTGAAAATTTGGATTTCTCTTCAAAGCTCATTGGCAATTAACCCAAAACACTTTATCACCAGAAGAGTGTTCACCCTTTCATAATTTCTTTTACTATTTACCACCCAAATCATAAAAATGTGTGTGTGTGTGTGTGTGTGTGTGTGTGTGTGTGTGTGTGTGTGTGTGTGTTGGGAAAATGGAACAATTTGGTCAGGCTCCACTCACCTCAGAGCTGGTTCAAGGTAGTTTGGTAAACATTATGTGTGTGGGTGGAGTGGGTGCACCTCCACAGCAGCACCGCTTTGGCTGGTGTTTTACTGCCTCGGGCGCCACCCTGTGTGGTCATGTTTCTTCCAAACTGCAGCTTCCGAGGACCATGTGGCTCACTGCCTAGCTTATAGACCTGTGTGAAGGGGTCTGGTGACCCAGCCTGGCATGTGAAGGGTTTGTGACCCAGTCTGTGAATGGGCTTGAAGGGTCTGGGAGCTCCAGACCCAGCCCTAGCTCAACCATCAGCCCAGTCGGTGCAGGATCACCAGCAGGTAAAAGAGCCACAACAACTAGCGTGGTCGCCTAGCTTTATAATTGGCCTCACAAACAGGATTAAGAGCTAGACAATTGGTGCTGTGAGCAGGATTTGACATCAGCCTTAGCCTTAGCCTCTCAGTAGCCCTTGTTGTAGCCAGACAGTGTGAGAGAGAGAAAGAGGCAGAGACAGAGACAGAGGGAGGGAAGGAGGACGTGAGAAGGTAAAATGTTCACTATCTGGGGAGTATTAAGCAGTGGGTAAAGTTTTGGATTTTTCATTGTAATTCATCTAGTTAGTCCATCTCTAGATAAATTTGTTTCCCTGAAGTGAATATTATTTAATAATGGTCACTTAAATAGTAAGAAATAATCCTCACAATTCCTGTAAGGTATTTATAAATAGAGTGGTAAATTTCTGGCACTGTAAGATAGAGCCCACTGCTATCTAAGGCTGTGGAAACTTAAAACTCAATCTCATAACTTTTATTCATACAAACATAGGAAAATAAAATGGTCCATACACATATTCTTTCTTTGTAATCCCTGGATAGTCTTGCCTGAGTGTCATTGTTTAGACAGTTAATGATTTATACCAGCAGAGATGAGTCTATCTCCCTCCACCCCTGCCATTCTGCAGATAGGGTGAGAGCCCTTGAGCAGGAAGATAGTTGAGGCATTGTGTTGGAATGCTCTGCTCTGCGGTGATGTAACTGACAAGGAATCTACTATGAATCCCAGTGCTGAGTGTTTATTTCCCTTTCGTGCAAGGGCAAAAGGTTATACACTTTCTAAGAGCATGCTTCATAAAAGTAAGCAGTACTTAAATGAACCATATTTTTGACTAGCCATGGAAGAAATAATTGTGTAGAAGAGCTCAGAGGAGATGTTTATTGATGATGTATCAATAAATCAGAGATATGTAAATAAAATTTTCCCAAAACTACATAATCTTCAAATATAAGAAAAACCCTTTGAGCTGAAACATGTTTTGGATCTAGGAAACCTCTGCTCACATGCGGGAAATAATTGGAAACACTTGAACCTTACATACCACTTATTTTATGTGTTTCTATTACAGATCTTTGAGGGGAAGAGGTTGGGAGGGAAGTGTGTTAGGGGTGAGGTTGCTTGTTGGCCATAGTCATCAGAGCTCTTTTGCTTGTATGTTAATACTTCCAATGGGAACATGATCATTGTCACAAATGGAGACAGCTGGAAGAAATTATAAACCATGAAATAAATTAACTTTTATTGTGCATTCTTAGATTCCTTTCTAATTTCCTCAAAACATCATGACTACACGGTCTCTATAGTAACCATGAAGAAGACAGAATAGCCTGCACGATTTAGCCAGCACGTGATTCAAAGATAAGACAATACTTAATGGTGCTAAGTAGCATTAAGTGTTACTGGAAATGGAGACAGCTGGAAGAAATTATAAACCATGAAATAAATTAACTTTTATTGTGCATTCTTTGATTCCTTTCTAATTTCCTCAAAACATCATGACTACACGGTCTCTATAGTAACCATGAAGAAGAGAGAATAGCCTGCACGATTTAGCCAGCACGTGATTCAAAGATAAGACAATACTTAATGGTGCTAAGTAGCATTAAGTGTTACTGGTAATTTTCTAAAAATGTACAAGTATACCCGAGTGTCTGAAAAATGAAGAAATAATGCGATTCATGTAGCCCAGCAACTAGAAAATATTTATGCTACAACATTACACAGGGGGTTTTGTGAATCCTTTTTATACCAAACCAAAAAGCATATGATAAATTATTTTGTTGAGCAATGGATGTCTTCTCAGATGCTTTAGACTGGAATATGACTTTATTTTTTTCATTTTGGAAATACTAGTTTGATTTTACTAGAAGCATTTTCTTCAAACCATTTTAACCATTTTAAAGTGTACCATTCAGAGGAATTAAGTATGTTCACAATGGTGTGTAATCATCACCACTGCTCGTGTTGAGAATTGTTTCATCATCCTAAAGAGAGACTCTGTGCCCATTAAACATTAACTTTCCTTTCTCCCCTCCCCACTCCAGCTCCTGGTAAATTCTGTTATACTTTCTATCCCTGTGATTTTTCCGATTGAGATGAGTGAAATTATACAATATTTGCCCTTTTGTGTCTAGGTTATTTCATTTAGCACAATGTTTTCAAGGTTTATCCATGTTGTAATATGTATTGGAATTTCATTCATCTTAATGGCTGAATAATATTCCATGTGTACTATATACCACATTTTAAAAAGCCATGCATCTGTTGACGGGCACTTGAGTTGTTTCCACCTTTCGGCTCTTGCAAGTAATGTTCTATGAATGGTGTACAAGCATGTATTTGACTCTTTTGGCATATTTTTAAAAATCAAGGCATTTTTAGCTCTTGGTGTTTGGATGTATAAACCAACAAAACTCAGTGAATTTCTATTCATGCTCACCATTGATAGATTTTTGGATTATTCTACTCTTCATTTTTTTAAAAGTAGATATTGAGGAAAAAACCTCTCATTTCTCTCCTTGTCCTCACATCCAGTCTTTCTGTACATGCTATATAAATACACATAAATCAATTTAAATTAAATTAAAATAGGGCTATAAAATATATGGCAGGATATCTTCTCAATATGAAGCAATCATACCTTCTGGCTAGAAACAGGGTCAACACTAATAATAGGAATATTCCATTATTTTTTCAACTTTTGTACTGTTGACAGGTATAAAATAAGATAGCTATAGAATAAGACATGAGAATGGTTTTTAAAAAGGGGGTATCTCCATTACATTATTTAATTAAAACATTTTTTGTTCCTTTGGCATTTTGTATCCATGGGATTTTGTACATAGTATCATAAGCTGGAAGGTAAGACTATTTTGGACTGAATTTGCGATAAGTGTAGACAGGCTTTAAAACTCCTAATTAGATACTGAATAGGAATTTTTCTCATTATTTCCAGTCACTAGGAAGCTAAATTAACATGCACTGTGAGGAGACAGATTCCAGTGCAGAGAATCAGACAGATCACAAAATTCATAATTCTTGACATATTGGCTTTCAGAGAATGTTTCTGCAGAAATAGCAGAATTTGTAGACTTAACAGCAGGGCAGGGTATAAAAGGCTGTAATCACATGTGGCCGTTCATGGGAGCAAAATAAAGACTGTGCTGGTTTTGCATTTGACCAAGGTTTTTCTTCTTAACTGCTTAGAAAACAAATACTTTGACTTGTCCACTAACTTTATTTCTTTCTTTGAGGAAAATTGTTACAGTCAAGTCCCAAGGAATTATCTTTTCTAAAAGAAATCATTTTCTTCTTGCTGCTGGCTTCCTCTCCTATGTGACGGTTGACTGCAACATGCTGGGTGTCTTCGTGTTCTCTAGACTTGGATATTATTGTCCTGAACAAAATAAAATAAAATGGCAATGCATGATTAAATGTAATTCAGACTGAAAATGTGCTGCAATTGTTACAGCATTATAAAGTAGCGATGTCCAGAGCCTCTCCTTTCACATAAATCTTAAAATAAGACCTGGAATTAGCAGGTCTTGAATGCATACATGGACGTAGGACAGTGACAGCAGGGAGGGCATAATTTCTGTAACACCTCAGCTTTTGCAAAGGTGAAAGGATTATTCATTTTTTCTCTTCCTAACTCAACTCTTTCACATGTGCACTTGTTCAGGCAACAGTTTTAATGGTGATTTATGATGGACAGGGCTTTTTGGCTCCTAAGCAGCTTAGGCGTCAGTCTTTTATTAGCTGGTCATGCTAATGAAACTGGTCAGAACTGTTTAGTTCCGGACTTGGATATGAAGATCAAAACGGTTCTGAGGCAACCGGTTTAATGACCCATTTCTAAATGTCCACACCCTTCACTTCCTTCTAGGTGGTATGTGAATAGTACCTAATGATCTTTTTCTTTAAATACCTAAGATGTGCCCCAGACTTAAAAGAAACCAGGTAGCACACTTAAAGTGAGATAGAAAAAAAGAAAGCTTTATTTTTCTATGTGCAATTGGCTTGAGTCTTCTGCAGGAGGCTTCACAGCCTGTAGTGTTTGTGTCCTGTGCCTCCTCTCTAGAGTGGAGCCGGCAACGTTTGCTCAGGCATTTAGTTTTCTTTAAACTATGCCGTGTCTCTGACCAGCATGGTGGGGAGCCAGACTGCAGGTCTTTTTACTTTCCACATACAACTGAACCAGGACACATAAGGGTGAAGCCGGAAAAACGAGAACAGGGCAGCTAACAAACTTTGAAGGATAGAGGTTGCAGAAAACAAATACTTGTGAAATTTCAACTGACTGGAGAATTTTGGAAATTGATAGATCACTTTGAGGGCTGAGAGGAGAAAGATATTATTAGTGCAGAGATTGAAGAAATATGCCACTGAATATAGACAGAAAACACTGACACCAGAAAATGTAACCATTAGACTTCCAAAACTCCTTTAGCAAGGTTTCACATTGAAGAGTGTTAAATGTTAGTCCCTCTCTTTGGGCTGCTAAATACCAACTCCTTGCTCACAAAAACTGGCCCCAGGAGAAACTGTTATGGAAAGCTCTTGTCAGGGTCCCAAGGCAGGGTCCTTGGAGGGCTGGAAGGACAGCCCACGTCTGAACTGCCCAGTTTGGACTAGTGAGAGAAGTGTGCACATAGCTCAGTTCCTGGAGGGACGCCATCAACAGAACTTCATCAGCAGTAGCTAACATAATTACAGTACCTAGGAATGCCTTCTCTGTATGGGGACTTTCACTGATAATGAATTTAATAGCCTGTGTTGGCAATTTTGGGGCTTTCCACAGGTCCTAAGCAATTGTATACTCCTATGGACAGTGCTGGTGAGATGTCACGGGCCTCAATTCTATCCCTGCTCCTTTCCTTTTTATTCTCTGTCTGAGAATCCTCAGTGTCTCCTAGCAAGTCTGAGAGTTCACATGGCAGGTGGCAGCCACAAAAGAAAATTTCCCGGCCTTTCCAGATTTCTCTAACTCTAACTTATGGAAAGTTCTGTTTCTGCAGCATTCTGTGGCATCACCTACATACACTATCCATTAGTCACACAACAGAACTGCCACATGTTCTTTATAAAACACGGAGTAAAGAAAGCATTTGAGAGCCATGACTCTGAGTATACTGCAAGTTTTTAATCAGTTGTTGCACAGAAATGTGATTAGTAGTCAAAGACCTTGGGTTGAACTATGATTTGATTGCGTTTTTTTCAGTAATCGGTGCTCTGTTAAATTAGCGGCTTTGGAAATAGCAGCCTTAAGATTCTCATGATAGCCAATTCCTTTTGTGAATGAAAATGTTTCTTCTAGTTCTACTTCAAAATGTGTGGTGTGTTTTCCTTTCAGACAAGTTGCTGGTGGGCAAAGACAATCTTAAAGCTTAGCTGGCAGAGTGGTGTGGAAGAGTGTTGGCCTTAGGCTGAGATTCTATTCTTAACTTACTATCTAAGTGACTTTAGGTAAGTCACTTAATCTCTCTGAACTAAAGTTTCTTCAACCGTAAATTGGAGGTGGTAAAAGCCCTGCCTACCTCATAGGCTCAAGTGAGATAACAGGAAGACCAGGATTGGCTATACAAGTGTACAGCATTACAAATTGTCAAGGAATGCTCATAAATACCAATAAGAACTGGACCAATGATAGCTTCGTCTCTGGACAATTTTCGATGAACAGAGACCCTACACTCAGGAGCTGACTGCGATAGATAAGTCATGCACTGAGGGACAGTTAACATGAGTAAGTCAAGTTCTGCTCCTAGTGAACGCTTCAGACATATTCTGAGACCACATGGATGGTCACTCCTAAAGATGCCACCAGGTAGGGGTGGAGGCTCTGTGAAGACAGAAGTAAGACATCTTAGGAGGCCGAGAACTTTTCAAAACAGAGTGGGAAAAATAAACAAACAAATAAAAGCTATCAGAGAATATGCCACAGAGAGGATCAATGAACAAATCTGTGACCATCCTAGTTAAAATAACAACTGAGGAAGATCAACAAAGGCTAAAGACCTTTGCCAAAATTATGTTATTCAATATCCAATGAGATAATTCAGAACATTTTTTTCCAACTGAAAGCAAACAAACAAATATATCCTTATTTTTGCATGTAATAAGATGTCCCCTTTCCAACTCATATGTAGATTCAGTCTTCAGAAGAATTCTCTTCCGGTTATTGAGAGTGAAGTGTAATTGAATCCTTGAAGTGCTAGTTGGAATGCCTGTGAGGATTTCAGATCCACCCTCTGCGTTTCAATTGCACATTACTAAGGGCTGTGACAACCGGAGGAGAGGCATCCCAGTGCAGACAGAACTCAAAATCTCTGGGAACAGACATTATATCAGTGGTAGCCAAGGCTGTATTCTCCAGCTCTTTACAGTTAAAACACCTTGGGTTTAGTTTTGACTCTGTGGTTAATTGCTGATTAATTTTGGTAACTGGCTTCTTCAAACTTCAGTTTCTATTGTTCTGAAGCAAAATGGTTGGAAAAGTCCTTTTATAGTCCCAATGTCCTAAAAGAAGGGTCTAAGAAGAATGCTTTGAAAGGGAGGTTATGGCCATCACTTTTAGGAAGCTGGAAATTCAAGGATGTGATCCCATAAGGATGAGGAAAGTGAACCTGTAAAAGAGTAGGTGATCTTCAGAAAAACAGAAGATAACGATTACAGAAGATCTAGGGAGAGACAAACTGAAAGAAACTGGACAGCTGAGCACTCAGAGAAAACCTGAAGGTTGGCATGCACACAAGGGCTGCTGCAGGGGCCATAAGAGGCCAGCAGGCTGTAGGCAGCAGTACAATTAAATCATTTCTGCCAGCAGAGTCCAGAATACTAACAAGTTAGGGTTTGGGTGGCTGCAGTTTTGTCTTAAACCAAGGAATGAACTGAAAGCCTAGTCAGAAAAAAGAGCAAGAAAACATAAACAGATCCGTCATGGACTAGGCAGCAAAGGATGTAAACTAGAGAAGGACACTGATCAAAAGGAGCCCTTGACCAGAAGATCACCTTGTCATCAGCATTTTGGGGAAGAGTTTCAATGCAACTACTTAAAAAACAGAGAACTGCGTTTGTGGACATCTTTCTCAATTACTTAGATGTTGATATCATCATGAAAAAAATGAGGCAGAGTGGGAAGAAACTGGTTAAATGATACAAAGTCTTGAGCAACTGAATAACAGAGGCCAGAGTTCCTAATCTTCCCTTCATTGCCAGATAAAAAATACATAATTATAGCATCTGAAGTCTCTTTAGTCAGAACGATACCTGTTATACAGTCAATAACCTGTTGCTCATAGGAATTAAAATGTATCGGTGTAGTTGGAGAGTTGTTTCTTGAGTATTTGAAGTGACTCTGGATTTCAGTGGCTCGTTACTTATCCATCATCAAGGACAGAATGAGGATATGGGCAAAAAGAAAAGATGTAACAGTTCATGGTTTTCTGCTAATAGAAAGGTTATCATTCAACAGGAAGACAAAAACTGATGGCCCTAAGACCAACATCAATATTTAACAGGAAGTTAGTGACTACAGGATGTATAAGAACAATCCATGTTCTGATGGCTCTTGAAGACATTTCTGTGAATTATTTTAGTCTTACTATTTTTTCTGCAGAGAAAGCAAATTTGTAATACTGTTACTTACTTTTAAAGGTAGAGTTGACTGCCTATTTCTTTTGTGACTTAGATGTCCTCTTTTTCTTGGTCCCTGAAAATAAAAATTAAAAAAAAGGACGGGAGAAGAAAGGGCTGGAGTTTAGTCCCATATTCCTAGCACTGGTTTTTCACATTAAAACAAATCCTGAGTAAGCTAATAACAAAAGGAATTTTTTTCATTTGAAGAAAAAAATGTATGCATTAAGGGCAGTGTTTTTATTTATTTATTTTTTTTGGTGGCTGGTGCATATGGGAATCTGAACCCTTGACCTTGGTAATATAACACTGAGCTCTAACCAACTGAGCTAAGTGGCCAGCCCAAGCGTAGTATTTAATGGAGACTTGAAAAGTATTATTTGATTATTCTTAGGTTCCAGTTTTCAATAAGTCATTTTAAAAGGAAGCATATATTTCAAGACATAATTAATCAAAACTTTGAGAGTAAAAATATCCATCTGGAAGAGACAGTTTCAAAAACAGAGGCTTGCAGCAAAATTTTACCAGCCTGTAAAATTTCTCAAATGCTTCTACACCTACAGCTTCCATAATGACAAGGTAGCTAGGGGATGGAGGTACAGGAACCGGGCTGCATCAGGAAGGACGTGGACAGAAGGGGGTGCAGTCTGGCCTGCCACTTTCGTCAGCTCCACACTGGTGATGAATGAGCTGACAGTTATGGTGGCCTTCCTCCTCTCATGTATTTAAGCAAGGATTGAAAGTCACTTTGTTTAAATTATAGTATAATTTCTACATATGAAACTAGTGTATCAAACTGAAATAGTGCTGAATTGAATGATCTCGAGTCCGAATTACCTTTAGACCAGAGATGAGATGTTATTTTTATTCCTGTAAAATAAAAGGCAAGAAAGCAAAATAATATTCTAGGTACAGAAAACGAGCTCCTCTGGAAAAAACAAAACAAAACAAAACAAAAAAACAGGAGAAGCTCCTCAGTCATAGATGTTATTTTTATTCCTGTAAAATAAAAGGCAAGAAAGCAAAATAATATTCTAGGTACAGACAACGCGCTCCTCTGGAAAAAACAAAACAAAACAAAACAAAAAAACAGGAGAAGCTCCTCAGTCATGCCTACCCACTTCTTTTTCTATGCAAGCCCAGAAGAATTATCAAGTGAAATTGCCAGTACTTGATTACAAAGAAACAATATCTGGAAGCTGCATGGGAAAATGTGATCTGCAAGGGAGATTAATAAAAAATGCACGGTGTTTCTAGTTAACACAGTGATTTTCTCAGCCACTAATAGGTTCCTTAATCTAAAGAATCAGGATGCTGACTGGCACATCACAGTGCAAACTTTCTGAATAGTAAGTTGTGGACCTAGAAGATAAATAGGCTTCTATTTAAATAGGCTTCTTACCATAAGCAATGACTTAAATATAGGAAGAATCTAGCCATCATTTCTCGTCTTCTGGAGCAATTCACTGGCATGAAACAGAGCTTGTAAATATTTTATGTATGTCTTTCCAGACTGACTAATCCGAGGGTGAAGGTTTCAAATTGTACCCTGAAAGCTTGTTCCTCAAGAAACAAAGTACTGTGTTTTAGAGATAAAAACATTTATAGAAAATTCCCATCTATACATTCTTGAAATTTAACAACAGGACTATCAGTAGTAGTGGTGTTTATCTGTTTCAGTTTCAGGGGGTGATGTAATTTCTTGGGTTATTTGAGCACGAAACATTTAGCACCTAGTAACTTTAATCTGAATACTCTGACTTCCCGAAATAGTATTTTTTACTTGTGTAAAGAAATGGATTGTTAATGACACATATTTCCATAAATGAAGTTATCATCTTTCATAACTAAAGGGCAATTTAAAACACTTGCTTTATAATTCTGAAATGTTTTAAAATAAGGAACCAGTCACGATGTTACCTCAGTATTCTGTTATCATAACTAATATCTTGGAATTCATTATTTGTCCATTAAAGAAACCTTTATTTCAGCTGTAAAAAGACACATAAATGGTTCTTCCTTGTCTATTCTTTTTTCAAAAAGTCCTACAGAAATATGGTTATATTACAATCTAAATTTTCTAAAAGTAAGCAACAGGAGGGAAAAATTACCCTCAAATACATGATGTAATATAATTTTCCTTTATACAAAACTTCCTAATTTTTCAATACTATTATTTGATAACAAAACGTGGACAGAATCCTCTGGCATTTTGCAGCATTCCTTCAAGTTATTATTTTCTACTCAATCTGAGTGTAAGTGGTCCAAATAATTAGGCTTTTTTATTTCACAGAGTAGTCAGATTTTTTGTTATTGTTTAAAAATTTCTGTATATTGATTTATATAATTTCTAGTTTTATTGATTAATATTGCCATATACTCATATATTTGTATATAATATTACATGTATATAATATTGACTAATGCTTTTTTCAGTAATAGAAATGTGATAGTAGACATTCCAAATTCCTAATATGATAAGTTTAAACTATGCAGCACAGGAGAATATCAAAAAACAGAATGATACTAATCTGAAGACTACATAAAGAAAATTTATCTTAAACCTGTACTAGAAGCAATTTTTTATGAGAAAAATACTTTGATCCTAGGACAGATAAGCCAGATCTATTGAACTATAATGAGTAATTTCCTACAGTCCAGGTTAGGTAAAATTCCATAAATGTGATCTTAATATAGTTTACATTGATGATATTTTAAATATTTCTTTCCTGCACGATGTTATGAACTTATGTTTTAGTTTCATTCATTTTCTAACAGTTTGGCTTTTTTTTTTTTTTTTTTCCTTTTTGTCTTTTTTCGTGACCGGCAACAGATCGCAACCCTCAGTGTCGTGCCCGCACCGGACCGGGACCGGCAACGGGATCACAACCCCCGGTGTTGCTCCCGCACCTCGCTCAGCCAGTGAGCGGCCGGTCTGCATGTGGGATCCGAACCCTCGGCGGGAGCGCCGCCGCGCTTCCCAAGCGGCACACTGTAGCAGTGCACCACCGGGCCGGCCCTAACAGTTTGGCTTTTATAGTGTGGCTTTGCAACCTTCAGAAACAAAGAGACATTATTATTATTACTGTAATAATATCTGCATAGAAGACAGTAGCGGTTGTAGAGTCCACAATTAAAATGAATCCTTCTGCAGTGCACAATATGGATCACAGATGGTAGGCAAGGTGCATTTAACAGTGAACATGCCCACAATGTCAGCTTAAAACCATGTTGCAAGATAACTATTTTCAGACTAGTTTCTGCCATTTAACTTGAGTTACAGAAAAAAAATGACAAAGTTGTCCACAGTCTGGAAGGTAATCTTGGCAAGAAGAAAGAACATTCTCTCTAGGAGGAGGAAGAATAATGGCAGCACAATGCAAACACATCTGCTTTGTTAAAGAATAATAGCAGCACAAAGCAAACACATCTGCTTTGTTAAAGGGTCTTCAGCCTTTCTTAGAGTGACTCCTTCATGCGGCTCTCAGGGCCTTGCCTTTGAGCTCTAACAGCGTCAGGTGCATACTACATTCTATCAAAAATGTCTTTCCTGTTTATTTCATTCAAAAAAATTTTTATTGTGAAAAAATATAAATATATTGTTCATTAAAAATATCCAAAGATAATACAACCAAATCTGTACACCTATCACCCAGATTCAATCATTAATGTTTTGCCGTATTTGCATTATTTATCCTTCCTAATTTTTCAATACTATTATTTGATAACAAAACGTGGACAGAATCCTCTGGCATTTTTCAGCATTCCTTCAAGTTATTATTTTCTACTCAATCTGAGTGTAAGTGGTCCAAATAATTAGGCTTTTTTATTCCACAGAGTAGTCAGACTTTTTTGTTGTTGTTTAAAAATTTCTGTATATTGATTTATATAATTTCTAGTTTTATTGATTAATATTGCCATATACTCATATATTTGTATATAATATTACATGTATATAATATTGACTAATGCTTTTTTCAATAATAGAAATGTGATAGTAGACATTCCAAATTCCTAATATGATAAGGTTAAACTATGCAGCACAGGAGAATATCAAAAAACAGAATGATACTAATCTGAAGACTACATAAAGAAAATTTATCTTAAACCTGTACTAGAAGCAATTTTTTATGAGAAAAATACTTTGATCCTAGGACAGATAAGCCAGATCTATTGAACTATAATGAGTAATTTCCTACAGTCCAGGTTAGGTAAAATTCCGTAAATGTGATCTTAATATAGTTTACATTGATGATATTTTAAATATTTCATTCCTGCACGATGTTATGAACTTATGTTTTAGTTTCATTCATTTTCTAACAGTTTGGCTTTTATAGTGTGGCTTTGCAACCTTCAGAAACAAAGAGACATTATTATTATTATTACTGTAATAATATCTGCATCGAAGACAGTAGCAGTTGTAGAGTCCACAATTAAAATGAATCCCTCTGCAGTGCACAATATGGATCACAGATGGTAGGCAAGGTGCATTTAACAGTGAACATGCCCACAATGTTAGCTTAAAACAATGTTGCAAGATAACTATTTTCAGACTAGTTTCTGCCATTTAACTTGAGTTACAGAAAAAAAATGACAAAGTTGTCCACAGTCTGGAAGCTAATCTTGGCAAGAAGAAAGAACATTCTCTCTAGGAGGAGGAAGAATAATAGCAGCACAAAGCAAACACATCTGCTTTGTTAAAGGGTCTTCAGCCTTTCTTAGAGTGACTCCTTCATGCGGCTCTCAGGGCCTTGCCTTTGAGCTCTAACAGCGTCAGGTGCATACTACATTCTATCAAAAATGTCTTTCCTGTTTATTTCATTCTAAAAAATTTTTATTGTGAAAAAATATAAATATATTGTTCATTAAAAATATCCAAAGATTGTATACCTAATCTGTATACCTATCACCCAGATTCAATCATTAATATTTTGCCGTATTTGCATCATTTATTATCACCCAGATTCAATCATTAATGTTTTGCCGTATTTGCATTATTTATCTAGGTGTAACCAACAGAAAGTAAGTAAAGATTTTAATAGGAATCTCCCAAGAACAACCAATATAACCACAACA